AGTGTCATAAGTCTTTTACACTTTCCCTCTGGTTTTATTATTCTGTTCACTATTGAGAATTAAATTCTCATATGACAAATTTAAAGAATGACTCAGGATTTCTTATTTCCACAGTTATTTTTAGAGGAATTGGGTGGGTGATAGCATAATCAAAATTTCCTGAGATGAGCAGAAAATTGACCAGGAATAGAATTTTTTAAATGTCTCCTAAAATGATTGAAATAATTTTTAGCCTGCTTGAAAGTTCCAGGTCGATATAGAAATTGGGTTGCTGAAAAGAAAATTGATTTAAATGTCATCAGCAGTGGCAACTTCTCATATATTATCTATAATTTTCTCGGTAATGAAAAGACTAGCTATATCTTCGCATTACAAAAAAAATTTCTAAAAGAAGACGGAAAGGTGCAATTTAAGAGACCTACTAAATTAACAGACAGCCCGTAACCAGGACAAAGATAATTTTTTTAAATCATAATATGACACTTTTGACAATAATGTACCAAAGGGACAGCAGAAGTAGGCTGACTTGCTACTCCTGAGATCTGCCTCACCATAGTTTGACTCAAGTCCCAGTGCACTGCATTATCAAAGCTTCCCAACCATAGTAACAGTCCTCATTCCGTGATCTTACCGGTGACAGTGTCATTTAGTGGTTTTTCCCAGTCCAAGATGACAAATGATGGACACCCTTCCACGGTGACCACAGTGAGGTTGGAAGGTGGGTTCTGCGGTGGGCTGGTGGCGTTCCCCTCTGAGGCTTCCTCTACAGGGAACCGTTTGACGGAGTCAGTGATGGAGCAGGGCCTATTGTCAGGCTTTTGGATGTATCGCACATGTGGACCTGAAGGAGAGAGGACTCTGTCATTTACCATTTTTTTGAGCTTGTAAAGAAGGAGAAGGTAAACTTGTAAATATAATTATCTGTTTGAGAATATTTGGTCTCATAAGCAGATGGGTGAAAGCAGTGATGTGGATGGCTCAGACTCCTGTCTCTGGAATACATGATATGGATGCGGTTGTTGATTTACATTTTTAAGTAGGTATATCTTATGCTAATATACAAATGTAATTTGTTCCCCTTGAGCATAGTTTAAACCTCATGATGGGGCATTGGAAAGGGCTTTGCTTCAGTTGTGGGCAATAATTAGCCCTACATTAAACACAGTTTTGTTTTCACCTAGTAAATCTTAGAAGCTAGACTCAAAAGGATCAAGTGGTTTCAAGTAATTTAGCTGTATCCCAGAACAAAATTCAAAAATATTTTAAGAATAAAAAACATATCCAGCACCCAACAGGATAAAATTAACAGGAAAATATTACCCATAATGAGGAAAAACCAACCTAGAACTAGCATAGATGTTAGAACCATTAGACAAAAACAATAAAGCAGTTGTCACTATTATCCACCTGGTCAAAAATTAAGACATAGAAGATGTAAAAAAGACCCAAATCAAATTTCTAGAGATGAGAACTAAAATATATAAGATACAAAATACACTGGGTGAGATTAACACAGATATGATATTGCAAAACAAAAGATTAGTAAACTTAAAGACATAGTAATAACAACTATCTAAAATTAAAATGGAGATAAAAAAGAATTAAAAATATAAACAGCATCAGTGAGTTGTGGGATAACTTCCAGCGGTATAATAAAGATGTAATTTTAGTATCTGAGTATAAAAGAGGGGGCAAAAAAATTTGAAGAAACAATAGCCAAGAATTTTCCAAATTTGATGAGAACCTCTAAAACATAATAAATGAAGCTACTTTAAAATGGAGTCAGAGTTGCCATCCCCAAGGAACTGGCTTGAATGTCTTATGCCTCAAACCTTTGTAATATTAAGGCAAAAATAACCCTTTGAATAGGCCTAAAGTAACATGTTTACCAAAGAACTGTTTGTAAAGATAGCAAGAAAGCAGATATTATGACTGTAGTCTGATGACTATAGAATTGAAAATTAAAAATATTGTTTAGAGTTAGCATCTCTGTTAGCTTATCTGAACCAATAGAAATGCCTTCCTCCTATTGATTTAATTGTCTCCCTTCCCTTTCTCAAAAATGTCCCTTGCCTTTGTCTCCTAATCTATTTGAGTTTCTGCCTGCATCAGTGCTTCCGGAATAGCTATTCTTTTTTATTTTCTATTTTTAATCTCAAATACATACTTGTTGCCTCACTTTGGCTTTTTATCTTGAGGTTAATACCTCAAAACCCACAAATCAAAAAGTTCAAAGAAACCTAAGCATAACAAACATGAAGAAACTACACCAATTATAATCAAGTTTCTTAAAACCAGGATAAAAACCTTTAAAGGAAGCAGAGAAGAAATGTTATATGTAGAACAACAAAGATAAGGATCATGGCAGATTTCTCTTTGGAAAGAATGCAAGTGAGAAGGCAGTGGAGCAATGTCTTTAAATACGGAAAGAAAATTAGAATTCTATAACTAGTAAAACAAATATATATTTTTTTTATAAGCAAAATACTTTTTAGACATTCAAAAGCTGAAAGAATTCATGACCAGCAGACTCATCAAGCTACAAGAAAATTAAAGGAAGTCCTGCAGGCAGAAGGAAAATAATGCCAGATAGAAATATGGATCCACACAAAAGAATGAAGAATGCTGGAAATAGTATAATTTTTTTTATTATTTAATTCTCTCTAAAAGATAATTTACTGCTTACACGAAAACAATAATTTAGTGTGATATATACATGTAAAAGTAAAATGTATAACAACAATAGCTCAAAGGCCAAGAGGAAAAAAAGCTGCTATACTAATAGTTCTCATGCTATTCATGGACTTGTAGATTATCACTGGAAAGTAGATTTTGTTAAGTCAAAAATGCGTAACTCCAAAGCAATAACTGAAATAACAAAATAAAGAGTTTTAGCTAATAAGGCAACAAAGAAGATAAAATGGAATCATAAAAATACTCAATCGAAAGGCTGACAAAAGAAAAGAGGGAACAGAATAAATGGGAAAAATAGAAAAAATAGCAAGATGATAACAGGTAAATAACAGGAATGAGAGAGGTGACATTACTGAAGATTCTACAGATATTAAAATGACAAGAAAATATAGTGAACAACTTTGTTCAATAAATTTGCCAATAAATTTGACAACTTAGATAAAATGGACTAATAACTTGAAAGACAAAAATTACCAAAGCTCATGAGGGAAGGACAAATATTATGAATAGCTCTATACCTATTTTAAAAAGTGAATTATACATAAAATCCTTCCTGCAAAAAGATTGTGAGGCTCAGATGGCTTCACTGGTAAATACTACTAAACATTTAGGGAAGAAACAATACCAGTTCTAAACTCTTTCAGAAAATCGAAGAGCAGAGTTCAGCATTATTATTATACTAAAACTTGACTTAGCCATTACAAGAAAACCACAGACGAATATCCCTTATTGAATACAATTTCAAAAAAATTTTTAGCAAATTAAATCCAACAATATATTAAAATGAAAATGCATTATGAGCAAGCAGAATTTGTCCCTAGAATACAGAGTTAGTTTAAAATTAAAAAACAATTACTTCATATACCCATCAACAGATGATTGGATAAAGAAGTTATGGTTCATATATACAATGGAATATTACTCAGCTATTAAAAAACTGAAATCCTACCATTTTCAATGACATGATGGACCTAGAGGTTATTCTGCTGAGTGAAATAAGTCAGACAGAAAAAGATAAATACCATATGATTTCATTTATATGGAGAACCTAAGGAAAAAAAAGAACAAACTAATAAAAAGTAGACTCAAAAATATAGTGGACAATTTGGTGACAGACAGAGGGAATGGAGGTTGGGAGATTGGAAGAATGGGGTGAAGGGTTACAAAAATACAAATTAGTAGTTGATTGATGGTCACAGGGCTGGGGAGCACAGCATAGGGGATGCAGTTAGAATTAATATATTGGGTAGGTGGAAAACCAGAGGAGAGAAAGAGCAATTAGAGGAATCATTTTATAAACTATATAAATGTCTAACCAATGTATTGTATACTTGAAACTAATAAAAAAACAATATTAAAAATATTAAAAACCCCAATTCATGATATTAACAAACTAAATAAGAAAAACCATATAATCATCTCAATAAAGGCAGAAAAATAATTATACATAATCTTGCATTCATTTCTGATAATAATTCTTACCAAAGTAGGAATAGAAAGGAATATTCTCAACCCAATGAAGCAGTGGTCCCCAACCTTTTTGGCACCAGGGACCAGTGCTCCTATGAGAATCTAATGCCTGAGACCTGAAGTGGAGCTGAGGCAGTAATGCTAGTGCTGGGGAGCGGCTGCAAATACAGATGAAACTTCACTGGCTCCCCCGCTGCTCACCTCTTCCTGTGCAGCTTGGTCCCTGAAAGGCCACAGATCAGTACAGGTCTGTGGCCTGTGGGTTAGGGACCTCTGCAATAACGGGCATCTATGAAAAACCTACAGATAACATCATATGTAATGGTGAAAGACTGAATGCTTTTCATAAGATCAGGAATAATTTTTATTCAATATTTTACTGGAGGCTCTAGCCAATACAAAAAGGAAAGAAAAAAGCCAGTAGGAAAGGAAGCAATAAAACTTGACTCTCAAATGATGTAGTTCTATATGTAGAAATCCAATGGATCTATAAAAAAAAGCCAATGTTTTGCAAGCTGAAGGATATGAAATCACTGTACAAAAATCAATTGTTTTTCTTTATATTAGAAATGAATGACTGAAAATTGAAATAAAAATACTTTTATGATTTTCTATACACTGAAAACTGTAAGACATTGGTGAGGGAGACTGAAGACCTAAATAAACGGTGAGATATACCATGTTCATAGGTAGGAAGGCTCAATATTGTATAGCTGTCAATTTTCCCCAATTGACCTATAGATTCAATGCCATTCTAATAAAAATCTAAGCAGACTATTTTTTTTAGACATTAACAAGATGATTCTAAAATTCAGGTAGAAATCCAAAGGACCCAGAATCACCAAAGCAACTTTGAAAAACAAGAACAGTGTTGTAGAACTAACATGACCTGCTTGCAGCACTTATTATAAAGCCACAGTAATTCAGACACCGTGGTGTTGATGTAAAGGTAAGTGAATCAATGGAACAGAGTGGAGAGCCCCCAGTTACACACACACACACACACACACACACACACACACACACACACACACACACTGATTTTTAACAAAGGTACAATAAAATTCAGTGGAGAAAGAATAGTTTTGTTTTTTTTTCAACAAATGATGCTGGAACATCATTAGATATCCATAAGTAATAAAATTAGCTTGTTTATTCCTTGTATCACATACAAAATTTTATTCAATATGGATCATAGACCTAAATGTAAAAGTAGAAAACTTCTAGAATGAAACAGAGGAGGTCTCATAACCTCTGATTAGTCCATGATTTCTTAAATACAACAGCTAAAATACAATCTCTAAAAAGCCAAATTGATAAACCAAACTTCATGAAAATTAAACAGAGACACCACACATTGGGAGAAATATTGCAAAGCCATGTATCTAAAAAAGGTCTCCTATCCAGAAAATATAAGACTCAAAATTCAACAATGAGAAAATAAGCAACTCCATAAGAAAAAAAAATGTATAAAAAATTTGAACAGACATACCAGAAAAAGATATATGGATGGCAAATAAGGACATGAAAAGGTGTTCAGAATTCTTAGTCATTAGGGATATGCAAAGTAAAATCACAATCAGATAGTACTACACACCTGTTTAAATGGTTGAAATTAAAAAGACTGACTATACCAAGTGTTGGCAAAAATGGAGAGAAACTGGCATTCTCGTACACTGCTAATGGAAAGGTAAAACAGTACAATGATTGTGGAAATGGTTCAGTAGTTTCTTAAAATAGTAAGTATACACTTACATATAATCTAGCCATTCCCCTCATGGGCATTTGTCCAAAAGAAATGAAAGCATATGTCTATACAAAGACTTGTACATTAATGGTTACAACAGCTGTATTGATAATGTAAAAAAAAATTAGAGACAACTTAGTGGAGGACCAGGGGAGGGAGGGAGCAATTGGAGGAATTGTTTTATGAACAATATAGATGTCTAACCAATGTACTGTATACTTGAAACTAATTTAAATTAATAAATTTATTTTAAAAATAAATAAAAATAAAATCTTATAAAATTAAAAAAAAAAAAGAGACAACCCAAATGTCATGAACAGGTTTAATAAATAAATTATTATATATTCATAAAATAGAATACTAGTCAGTAATAAAAAGGAATGGACTTTTAATACATGCAGCAAAATGGATGAATCTCCAAATAATTATATGGAGTAAAAGAAACCAGACCAAAAAAAGAGTTTATACATTTATACAAAATTCTACAAAATACATACTAACCCATAGTAAAACAGATTGATGGTTACCTTGGAACTGGAGGTTGGGTAGGAGGACTGAGAGGGAGGGATTATAAATTTTGGAAGGTGGTGCCTACATTCATTACCTTGATCATGATGATGGTTTCTTGGGTGTATACATATGTTAAAATTGATCAGGTTTCATACTCAGAATGAAATATTACAAAAGAAAAAATACTGGGCTCTATATCATATTACATCTCTTCTACTTCGTTAGATTAGATTACTGTTCAAAAATATTCCAATTCTTGATTTGATTTGGCTGTGTGATTTTCTTTGGCCAATGAATATTAGCAGGTGTAATACAAGAAGGAGCTTAAAATGTGGTTGTGTATTTGGATTCTCCCTCTCTTGACTTTGTCTAGTCATGAGAATGGCTTCTCCTGAGTCACTCGTGGTCCTTTATCCTGGGAACCAGAATGAACAGATGAAGATCTGACTTGGCTCAAACCCACAAGAAGCCTAGCTGTACCTGCTGCTAGAAGCAGGACCAGCCAGCCAAGAACATTCTAGATTAGCCAACCCCAATGTGGTTAATATCATGATGGTGGCCTGTACACATCTGAGAAGTAAATCCTTATTACAGTATGACATTAAGATTCTGTGGTTGTTTATTACACAGCAACAGTCAAATGATACGCCCACTGAAGATAGCCTTGTCAAAGCTAAGATTTGCGACTAATCATACATACCTTTAAATCTGGGCTTTCCAAGAGGATCAGTTTCTCTTGTTGGACTTGAGCTAAAGTCAGTCACATTACCTGAGGATGGAATATAGGAAACACTTTTGGCAAAAGATAAAGCTTCATGATACAATAAAAAGTAGTAAAGACTATAAATATTTAATATGCCTCCTAGTCAACTGCTCACTACTTTGATTTCCATTATTATTGTTATTCATACTACTCTCAATAAAGGCCTTTTAGTTCTGCTGCAGGTGTTTTGGAGTGTAACCAATAATGATTTAAAGATTATAACCAAGTAGCTAATACCGATAAATTAAGAGCTATGTGATTAGTAATGACATGTGATTTAGTAAGAAGCACTGGGCAATCTAGATCTTCTCAGGAAGGCTTTCTAAAAAAAACTTAGGCACTTTGTAAAGGGAAGGATCATATTCTATACTGAAGCATTAAAAAGAAGTATTATTTTTAAAGATATTAATTATAAAATTGAGTAAAATAGATGAACCATAACTGAGACTCTTTTCCCCTTAATTTGAAATATTTTAGTACTTTGTAGCTAAGCATCCAGTGGGAAGTGACTGATCTACTAACCAAGATATTCTCCGGAGGCGGGAGCTGTTGGTTCCTTTTTATCTATCTCCGTTCCCTCTGAGGGGGCTCCGGTAGGTCTGAGTGTTGCTCTCAAGGGTGGGGAAGTCACTCGGCCTGATGAAATGATTCCTATAATGGAGACACAAAGTAGTCAGACTTCATAGGAGCACTGCCAAGTTCTCCATTTATTTATCCAATAAATATTTATTAAGCACTTACCATGCAGCTTGATGCTATATGCCAGGCTTGGAGAGAAAACAAGCTCTGGTGTCCTTGATCGAGATAGATGTGTGAGTCAATATTATGAAGCATTATAGATAATGTGAAAGAACTGGATAAGGTCACAGAGAGGGGAGGGCGTAGTAAAGTTTATAGGGAGAGATGAAGAGTTTTGGCTGGGGGAAGGCAGAAATGTCTTCACAGAGAAAGTGCCAATAAAGAAGAGAAGTGATCAGTAGGTAGGTATGAAAGCTCTACTCTAGTCAGAGGTTGCCAGAAGAACCAAGTCAGGGAAGCATGGAACCATTTGACATGTTTAATGTGAAGGGGTGAGAGCCAGGAGTGCTCTGGGGTGCAGTGAGGGCTGAGAGTGGAGGGGCAGAGAAGGGCAGATAACGAAGAACCTCATGTACCATGGATTTGGGCATTATTTTTCAACAAGGACCACTGAAAGATTTTCAATAGAGAAGTAACAAGATCAGATGAGAATAGGATGTATGGTTGGGGTACAAGGCTGGTGGCAGAGAGAAAAGTGAGGAGACAAAGCAGTTGTGTAGGCAAGGGCGGGGGAGGTGAACTATAGCAGCAGTGAGACTGGGCAGAAGAGGTTAGTTAGACATGAGAGATGTCAAGGAGATGGAATGGCCTGATGTGGAGATTAACTGGCAAGCATGGGAGGTTTGAAGAAGAAAAAGATTTCCAAGGTAACACCTATAATTCTGGCCTAGCAGTCAGAACAGTGCTGCTTTCAGATGTTATATACAAGTGTCTCCTCTACTAAAAACACTAGTATGTCTCCAAAACTGGATCCATCCCAAGGTCTGGGCAGCCTGGGAGTTTAGACTACAGCAGAGGCCAGATTGGATCTTATAGTCCTCTTGGAAAAGGAATCATTCTCAGACAATAAATAATCAAGGGGTACAAGACTGACCCGAAGACTATGGCCCAGTAGAAAATCATGGATGAGTCACTCAGATGGGCTTCTGATCCGACCCGTGCAAATGCTCCTGGTGGAGGTGGGCCACAATGAGAAGGCAAGCAAAAACCAAGAGAAGTTGCACTGTAGCTCTTAGGAGCTTTTTAGAGTTGGCAGGCCCAGCCAGAAGTGCTGGCAAAACACTTTCATCCTGGCAAGGAGAGGGCAACTTGGAGGCCTCAGTAGATCTGGAGACAGGGTACAAATGGAAAATGCCACATGGTAGCCTCAGACTGTACTCACAGGCATCTGTGAGAGAGGACATGTTCAGAGCACTCCCAGAACATTTTGTTGATTCCTGAATTCAGCATGCACTTTCTGTGATGGTAATCAGGGCAAAACTGTACATCTGCCCTTGTTTGTGTTTGGCTTCTCAATGCAGCCACTTCCTCTGAGTTAGAGGTGAATAGCAAGAGGTGGGTGGGGGGCCAGAGTTGATTAACAAGTTAACTCTGGAACATCTTCATGGTTCTTCTTCAGGCCAGGTGAGCTATACCAGAGTTACACTTACTGATGGGAGGGAACAAGGGATTTTATATGGCAGGAACCAAGGCCATGTTGCTGCAGCTGAAGACACAGCCTCACAGGGAAGCCCTGTGCATGGAGTCCCCCAAGTTTTCATGGGAGACACTCAGGCATCACTTTCAGTCTGTGACTCACTCAATTTGACCCCAGATTTCAATGAATGAGGAAGACCAGGTGTCCTTGCTGGGGCCACATCCCTGACTCAGGAAGATACCAGAAGCATGGATAAGAGGCTGGATCCTCTTTCAGCTGATGGGGAAAATAACCCAGAGTTCATTTTGCATGTGATATACCATAAAAGCTTCTCCATCACCACACCCTCCTTTTATCCTATAAAAAGAGCGACATCCATTCCCTTTCACATAAACTTTTACCACTTTCATCTTCACAGCTGTCTTTAACACTTTTATTCTAATTCCACCTACAAAATATTTAGGAAGTAGGGATGGTGGAGAGAGGGAAGAAAGATGGGGAACATGCTGTGATTTGCTGGTAAGTCCAGTGGAAAAACTGTTAAGAGAAATGAGGAAAAGCTTTGCTCTGGACTGGTTCGGTTTTCACTGATTCTTAATTTCATTAATTTATTCACTTGGCAATTACTTATCAAATATCCTCTATGTGCCAAGAACCAGGTTCGGTTCTGGGAGGTCAGAGAAAATGTACCAAGGATTCTATCATCATGGAGCTCTTAGCCTAGTAGGGGAAGACAAGCATGCAAACAAACAGGCATACAACAATTTGCTCTTTGCTCTAACACAAGAGTGTGTCAAGGACCAGTAGAACAGAGAAGCAATACTAAGACCACTTTGAGGAGCTTGAGAAGGCTTCTTCAAGAAAAGGGTGAAGTATGAGTATCCCAGGTGACTATGGGAAGGAGACAACACATGCCAAGGCCTGAGTCAGCTTCTGTCTTGGCTTCAAGCACACAACAACTAAGAAGCACACTGGCCTAGATGCTCAGAGATGGTTTTTTTCACCCCACCCATCCAGAATACGATTTCTCAAAGCTGTAATTTACCATGTCTGGTCTTCAGGGCCAACACAGGCACGTGTCACACAAACTGAGGGCTTGTCCATTGCCTGAACTATTACACCAAGAAGGGCTTGTGGTTGGCTAGTAAAACTGAAATCATGGATGAGTAAGGAATGTATGAGACTGACATACCTGCACTTCCTGGCTTTCCAGTGACATTATTCGGCGGTAAGGGTTTTCTTCGTGGGGGTGTCGGTCTAGGTGCCAAGGGTGGGTGACGAGTGCCTGGGGTTGTAGCTAAGAGATTATAATACAGATAAGGCCGTCATAAGGATTCGCTCTATAAAAATCATAGGTTTTTAAAAAATAAAACATTCGACAGCTAGTAGTTTGATGACAGAAATAGATTCTATAGAAAAGTGCATGAGTAATATTTTCTGATATTCTTCTAAATTAATGTTCGTAATACACCAAAGGATAATGAAGCACATTAGCATATTAAAAATCCTCTAATTATAGATAAAATATGTAGGTATATTTGCCTTTTGAAAGGATGTATAGATGTACAGAATTTAATATCTTTATTTTCCCATCTAGACTCAACAGCAGCATTTCTGAGCTTCATTGTCTCCAGTTGCCTTTAATTTTGATACTACAATACTTACATCATTTTAGCTTTAAATTGTTAAAGCATATAATTTCTTATTTAGTGGGTGATCCGCCCCATCCCCCAACTCTATTATATATTTAGAATTAAGCGAACACTTTCAGAACTTAAACCGTTACAACAAGGGAGCCCTGATGGCAGAAGCTATAACACTGTGCCAATGAAGAGCAGGGTTGCCGTGAACTGCAGTGCACCACACAGGGGCACCTGGCCAGAGGTATGAGCCTGGTGGGAGCCAAAGTTTAACACTCACTCTGCTCATCCACTCACAAGCCCTGATGCAAGGCTACCAGCCCAGAGTAAGGGCACACTTTTCTAAATGGATTACCTGAAGGGCTGAGGGAAGAGTATCATTTAAAAATTGCATAAGGTATCTACTTTGCACAAAGTCTATGAAGACTAGAGGTGCCTGGATCAGTCTACCTAAACCCAATTTTTCTTTTAAATCTCTGTTATAGCTTAAAAATTCATCTCTTTGCATAATACATGTTCGCTTAAAAATCTTCAAGTACAATTGACAATCCAGGAAAATGCCCTCTGGCTTTAAGTGCTTCTTAGGATACCAGGAAGTGTGTGTGTGCATGCATGCATGGGGGCACTGAGTGGTACTGGTAGAATATCTGTAGCTCAGCCATTAATACATCAGAGTAGGTTTCACAGTGTCCTTTCAGAAAGCACAGAGTTCTTATTCAATGCAAAGATATTCCAAGTCACTGACTATATAATTTTAGCCTAAAATATAGAGCATAGTCTTAAATTAGAAACATAAATCACTTCAGGCAAAAGGATATTGTAATAAATTACACAGAAGTAAAGCTGGAACATGATGAAAAGTAGAACCCACAGTGACTCTTCAGGATTTGTCCATTTTGGCCTCTCAGAATGTTATGTGAAGTAATTATTCAATTAGTACTCCATTAGAGGTTCTCCTTAATGTTTAATTTGTGCACAGAGCACTTCTCACTTCTCCACAGATAAGATTTTCGAATGTTTTCCTAGCAACCCGCATGTCCCATTAGCACGATGCCAACGCTTTGGGGGCCGGGCAGAAGCAGCTGTTTTTGCTGCAACAGGTGATACTGTAGTTACTGCCCACGTTTCAGCAAAGAGCTGAGTCAGCAACTTATTCCTTACCTGTTTTCTTTGTGGAATGCGTAGAGTCTACTGACACATTTCCACCAGCACCCGATGGCTTCAGAGCTTGCTTGACCCCTATGAGCAGAGATAGGAAAAGGGAATAAATATGTAGCCAAAATGTGCCAAATATTCTTCTTCATGGAAACTTGGTAGAGTTGTCAGTGATAATGTGCATTCTTTGCACAGCAAGGACACTGGTGATTTTGTGCCCAGATGTTTTAATTGGCTTCTCCCACCTACATACAGAAGAAATTCAAAGGCCTACGTTCCTTGATTATGATATTTTCTTGAGTTAAAAATTTGATTATAATTTATGGTTTTGTCTTAATTTTCCATGATGCCCACCCTGCACTGCCTTCCTGTGTGGTACTGCCTCGCCAGGAGAATTTCATCTATACTAACTGGCCTTTTTTTTTTTTTTTTTGCCAGTATTCATGGATACATTTTGTGGTTTTTTAAAAAAATTTTTCTTTAACCACTTTAGCCCCATAAAAAATCTTAAAATTCCAGTGCGTTTGGGTTTATATTTAATGGATTGACTTTTAAAATATTTCTGGAGAGGCCTTTGCCACCTGGCTGGTTATGCCACAGATTGGATCTGTACCTTTGAGATTTGTAAATTAGGCCTGGGCAGGCTTATAACGCCAAACTGTTATTTGGAAGAAACTGATCTGAAAATTACTTTGTGTGATATTTTATCTCCTAAATTTTTCAAACATAATCTGGTGGTTATTCCCCAGCCATTCTCCTGAGTTTTGAGTTTGAGTGGCTGCCCTAAACGTAGAGAAAACTGATTTAGATTTCATCCTATTTTATTTTTATTATTCTTTCACATTATAAAATAATTATCCCTGATGTGGCTGATAGCCTTTCTATTCATTAAGAATAGAAACAGACATTTTTAGGATCTAAAAAATAAGTATCATGTTAGATATAATGGCTTACCCTAAAAAACAAATCCATACTCTGAGGACCTTATTATAATTCACATATTAAAAAATAAGAACATTTAATTAATATACTAGTTAGTACATTAACAATGACAAGCACAAACCCAACCAGAACCTTGTTTTGAGGGCTGTGTTCCAAGGACTCTGTAGGGACATTACACAATCTTATTAATGTGCAGGCAAATATATTAATTAAATATACAACAGAGCTCTGTTAGGTAGTATTCCCACATTAATTTATAAAATTAAATTATTAATTATAATTACTGTAATATAAATTAACATTATGATATTAATGTTATGATCATTAACATTATTAAAATTATAATTGTGATTGACATTAATTTATGAAATCTAATCTTGCAATCCCACATTCTGCTGTTTGAATAAGAGATAATAAATAAAATCATGGTGCTTGTTTGTATGGAATCCTGAATTACATGTTACTTATTGTGGTAGGAAAAAAAATCTTTCTGGAGTCAATGACTATTTTGTGGCTAATTCCACACGCATGGCGAAAACAAATGTTTGTTAGTCTTCTTCCTGTGCCCCACTGTCAATGGTAATGGGGCCAGGGAAATGACTCATTGGGTGATTGCTCTGGCCATGGCATATGGAAATGGAAAATACTTCTATCTGTGTCACTGGGATAACCTGACTTGGAGAGATTTAATTTACTACTATTGTTCGAGGATAAAGAATGTGTAATATGCTGTAGAAGGTTAGTAGCTGTGTGTGCCTTCAGTAGATTCTTCTTTACAGCCTTTCACCATTTTTTTTTTTACCCTTAAAAAAACTAAGTATTCTGATTCAACACTGTGCAAGCACCTTCTATGTTCATTACCTGATTTGATCTTTACAACCCTTCTGTGTGGGAGATACCATTCAGGTCCCACAGATGAGGAAACCCAAGGCAAGGGTAGATTAAGCAATTTGCCTAAGGACACACAACTAGAAGTGGTGGGATTCAGACCCACCTGCACCTGGCTCCAAAGACTCTCTCTTAAGCACTAAGTGGGATAGTACAGACTACTAGTCATTCTCCTACCATTTTCTTCCTTCTCTTATCCCTTATAACAATTCTAAGTGCCTTTAGCTCTAGAGTCCTATACTGTATCTTTTGGGTGGTTTGAAGTACCACCACTGTGTAAGCAGTAAATAGCCATGACAGACAAGCATGTATAATCCAGGCATGCCACTGATTTGTGGGACTCAGAATCAACACGAGGCTGACAGAACCCAGGCATATGCAGATTCACCAAGCTACGGGCTGATGAAATGGATATTTAGGAGAGAATCTAGAATTCTTCAGGATTACTTTATGAATAAGACTATATAAATAAACTCTCCTGGCCTCATTTCTAATTAAGGGAGAAATCAATAGAAACCAGCCATTTTCTGTTATTTTCTCTGATCATACTGTTATGATCCTGAAATGTAAATACCCAAATCAATAAAGTATCAACTGATAAACTGGACTTTCTCGAGCCTTTAGGACAGTAAAAGCCAGTAGTGGATGAAAACGTTGGTTAACAGTCCTATAAAAAGCAGCTGTGGGGCTTGGAGAATGAGCATGGAACTGGGGACAGGAGACTGAACTCCAGTTCTGGCCCTCCCTCCACCTAGCTGTGGTTTGCATGTCAGCCAGGCAGCAGTATGAGGACAGAGCCTGGAGACCAGTGAACTTCTGTTGACCTGAATCAGAGGAGAGCAAGGGAAAGCCAAAGATAGCTGAGAGGCAATGGGAGGGAAAGGAGGAAGCCAGTAGGAGAGATACTGCAGAGACAGAATCCTCAAGAACTGGCACTCGATCAAACTGTCTGGCCCAGATTGTGACCTAAATTCTTTTTCCCTCAGGCAGGATTAATCCACATATTTTCTAAAGGGCAGAATTGGCTTTGGAAGCACCAGCACTTGAACTTCAGTGTAAGCCCCCAATTGCCAAATGGGAGTTCTCCAAAACCCTCTGGATTTACATAATTCACCTCTTAGGAATTTCTTGTTAAAAATGAAGTAATAGTTCAGGTATTTTTAACCATGGTAACAAAAGCTTTGCAAAGAAACAGTAAACTGGGCATCAGTTTCCAAACGTATCAGAGACTCTATTCCCTGGGACCAAAAAGGGGAGGTATTTATGGATAATTGGTCACTTTACCCTTGTCTCCAGGTGTTAGCACCTGGCTAAAAAGACAGCAGACTGGAAGATTTAGCCATAGCTCAAACACATCCCTCCCCTTGGAAAGGCCTGGGTTCTGGCTGTCAAGGAAACTCCATGTTGAGGCAGTGACGTACACCTCACTCAGGTGTGGAGAGGGGAGTCTAGGGTTCCAGTACTGAACATATCTGTCACACCACATATGCCAAAGTGGTTTCCAAGTTACTTTGCCTAACACGTAATGGTGCTTCAATAAATGTTGTTTGAATGAAAGAATAGCTGTACAACTCAGCGGCTTTCTTCTATAGGGTGAAAGTTGGGGAGCTTGCTTACCACAGGGTCAGCAAACTTCCCTATCAGGGATCAGACAGTCAATATTTTCAGCTTTGTGGGCCATATATATTTGTCACAACTGTTCAACTCTGCCACTATATTGTGAAAGCAAGCTATGTTTCAATAAAACTTTATTTACAAAAATAAACAATGAGCTGTATCTGGCCCGTGGGGCTGTAGATTATGTGATCCCCTGTCTAGTGCATACTTGTTGCATCTCTGGAGTCAGATCTCAAGTGAGTTATAATATGTAGAACATATCAGTTAAGCTGAGACACAGCTCTGGAAACCATGAAAAAACAGAGTGCTGGAACAATGACTTACCTAAAACCTCAACCTCTGAAGGCTACTTTCTAACTTTCAGGTGGAGGAATATCTATAAATATCAGTATGAAATGCACATAGTACAGAAAAAATATTTCCAATAACGTTATGAAATAAGAAACTTGGCTTAAGATGGCTTAAAATTTTCTGCAGTTTATGAAATCAGTGTAAGATTTTTACAGAGGCCCAAATAATCAAAGGTCAATAGTTTTGAGGCCTTAGAATCCTTCTTTAGCCTTCCAAAGGCACAGTCTTAAGTGGCCTAAGACCATAAATAGATCCTATACATCCTAAACATTTCCTTTATCAACAGATTTTTTTTTAATGTAAAGTATCTGGGCTGAAAACTTCAGCAAGGAAAACTATAGGAAAATGTATGTGAGAAGGATAATAAAAATAAATATTCTCTGTAAGACGTCAAAGTTGGATAAGGAATCAATGGACACAGAAATGCTGTCTCACTGAGACTCAATAGAGGCTAGAATTGACTGTGGAGGAGATAGTAGGACTGAGTCAGAGAAGAAAATAAACTTAATGTTTCTGTAAACAAATCAGATGGAAATTGTGCAGAATCAAAGTAAGGTAGACACATGTAATTCTATAATCTGGAGAGAATAGATTTTAAACATTCTTTTTTTTCTTATCAATTTCTCAAAACATGCCCTAGGCAAATAGTCTGAGAGCTGTTACATTTTCCCTTTATAATATGCTAAATAATGTCATCTGTGATTTCCAATTTTTTATACTATTTGCTTCTTTTCTTGGTTTATTGCACTGGCTACACACTCCACTACTATTTCCAACAGAAGTTGTAAAAATAGGAATCCTTGCTTGTGTTCTTGATATTAGGAGAAAAACACTTTGATTTTCACTATTAAGTATGATGTTAGCTGTATATTTTTCACAGATTCCCTTTATCAGTGAGGAAAATTCCTTCTATTCCTAGTTTTCTGAGAGTTTTCAGCACGAATGAATTTTGAATTTTGTCTAATGGTTGTTTTTTGTATTTATTGAGGTGATCACATGATTTTCTCCTTGGTCAGTTAGTGTGGTGAATTACACTAATTTGTTTGAATGTTGAACCAACCCTGTATTTTTGAGGTAAATTTCATTTGGTGGTTATGTGTTATTGTGGTAGATATGCAAATGTGCCACCCAGATCTCTAATCCAGGCTCTCTCAACTGAGGCTGACCCTGAAGGAGCTGATGGTTGGAAGCTATCTGTTGACATCACTCTCTGTAGCTGGGCAGCAAGCCTTTCCCTGAAGGGAAATTCCAATAGACAGACATCAGAACATAAAATAGGTGCAACAGTTTTTGTGTGTGTGTGTGTGTGGGGGGTGGAGGTGGAGCAAGAAAAGGGGAAACATGAGCTCAGCTTAGTCTACCTGTGCCCACCAGCCCCTTTCTACCAGCAATTAACTGATTAAATTGAAGAAGCCCTGGTAAGAGATCATCCTTCCATAGTCGACAGTATTGTAATGGCCATGCGTACAGCAAGATAGATGCTAGAGTAATCAGGGGGATCACTTCATAAACTATATAAATGTCTAACCAATGTATTGTATACCTGAAATTAACATAAAAGATTTAAAAAACGAGATCATCCTTCTAAAGCTAAGTTAGATCAATTAATACATAGTTCACTTCATCTACACAAGAGAATAATAGATGTCAGTTTGTGGCCCTGAAAAAAATGTTTATATTGCTGAAAAACTAAAATATAATGACTGTCTTCCCTTCGAAAGATAGTTAGCATTTTCCTAGTGAGAATCAATGCTTGATTGTACTGAAGGTTGATGGCTTTCAAAATTGATCATAGTTAGTTGTTCTTTCATTTGCTTTGTCGATGTAAATGCTTTCTTCTATTTTTACTTAGACAAACTCAAGGGAATTACTTTGAATATTAAGAAGTTGGCTCTGTTTAGAGCTAGATTGTTTATGTCAATCTGAGACAGCATGCATTGCCTAATCCCACAGTTGGGAAGAATGGAAGGAGCAGCTGAGCACAAATAGATGTCAGAATGCTTTCTTACTTTTCATGAGTCAGAAATTTACAGTAATTGCCTCATTAATTGATTTGAAGGGAAGGGAATTCCTAGAACTTCAGACATTGTAATAACCTATTACAAAAAACACATTCTAAAATGAATTCAAATGTTGTTACATTGACTATGTTCAGGTATTATTCATATCTCTTTCTCATTAGGGAACCATCATAGGTCGAATAAATAAACTCTAAGTTCTTGCTTTCTTTACATACACAAGTGCAAGATTTGTACTATTTAGAAAATATTACAGTGGAATTATGCAATCCCATATTGAAGTATAGAAGTATTATTTATTCACTTAGTGAGTTGGATGTTTTAACTTTTGTCCTAGTTATCTGTATGATGCCTAGTCCCATAGATCTGACTGGATTAAGGCGATGCCATTTAATTAAGCTGAATGATTTGTAACATTAATATGACTGTAACAATGGTGATCAACTGCTAATTGCTCATGTTTAACTATCATATTCCAGATTGCAAACAGATGCAGGTCTTCCAAAAAAATTATTATAATGGTACTTGTGAAATTATAAACTTTAAAACGAAGTCATTACAGTCTCAAAGACCAAACCTGCATATGGAAAATGGTTTGAAATTAGGGGCAACAGCTATTTTGATATTTTAATTCAGTAATTCATATTAATCAGGATCTTTTAAAGAATCAAGACTATATATGGCAGCTAATTTAGTGGTCTGGATTTAGAAAGGTGAAAAATTCCTTTTTAATGTTTTCAGAGACATTTGAAATTTTGATTTTGGAATGAATTACAATTTTCAATTCCAGTTAAGCTAAGAACTTCCAAAAAATTATTGAAGTGTGACTTCAACAAAATTATAAAAGTTGAATGAAAACATTTATAGTTTTGGTGGTATCAAAAGGAAATAAATTTGTGATTATCACCTGTTCCCATTCCGTTTCCTCTGGGTGTCCCACTGGGTTTGGGTCTACTAGGTCTTGTAGTTGTCTTATTCAGAACTACAATAAAGTGGGAAATAAATAGTTCAGACATTTTCTTATTAAAAATTTGCAGCCAAGAAAACCGAAACTTCCCAGAGAATTGTAAATCATTTAACCAGACAATAAAAAAAATGATGGCTTACCAAAAAATATTGTGCAGAATACAGAAAACCACAATTCTGATTTAACAATCATAGACTTGGATTTGGGAATAAAGACTTGAGTTCATACTTTGAGGTGATCAAATTTCTACTTCTAAATGGGAAATATCTTACCTTATTTATAAGCACTACATAGATTCCAAAATGGAACAGAAGAAAGATCAGGACTACCTATTCCAATGAAAAACCCAAACTTGAAGTATATTTATTTGATATATCCTTAGTTTATAACTCATAAGTTTGTGGCCCTTTCTCAGGAGTCTCTAGGTACAGATGCTCCTTGATAATCATGGCACGAGTCCATAACTGTACACAGAACTGTGATAAAACCATTGAGATTTCTCTTCTGCTTTGTTAAGAGCCATAGCATTACCAAAACTTTAAGAGGTCACCTATTTTATCCTCTGTTTAGAAGACTCCTTAAGGTAAAGCATCAAGTGTATTGCAGTTAAGAGAGCAAGCACGGAAGCCTAGCTGCTTGACTCTGAATCTTCTTCCTAGTTCTTTTCATACCTTAGCTCCTCTCACTGTACCCCAGGACATATGGCAAGCCCTTGGTCAATGTTAGCCATTACTGCCTCTGTTTCTTTATTTTGTAGAAATGTTTAATATAACCAGCCACACATTAAGCCATCAACAGCTATTATGGTACAAAAGTTGCATGGAGATATATTTGTTTATAAAAGACTTCTGTGCCTAATTATCTTTAGGAGTTGGAGGAGTAATCAAAAGAAGATATATATGGGTTTTCCATAAACCAAAAGATAGAAAATATTATTTGTTTTTTCTTTCATGTGCCTGGTGAGATGTTCACCACGAACATTAATTTATAAGCCAGTTTCGTCATTTAAAACTTCAAGAAAACTTCTTAGAATCACAGTGAATAAAGAGCAGAAAACACCAGAGTCTTTAGTCTAACTTGTGCTTTAGCATAGAAGCAATTTACATGGACCAAATCAACACCTCCAGTTAACTTTTCTCTAATGAGCTCCAGTGAGAGAGATTATAGAACCTTTGGAGAATTTATTAAATTTAAAGTATTTTCCAATGTTTAATTATCAATTTATTTTTTTTGTTATTTACAACTTTTAAGATGTGGTTTGTTTTTTTGAGTAATATGAAGGAATCAAGTACAAGCGTTTTCTGAGAACAAGAGCCTTATATACTGAAGAAACCACTCTTCTTAAAAAATAAATAACATTTATTTGAAAGCGAGTAATATGTCATAGCTAATGCTGTCTCTATAATTGGCATGAAAATTAGACTGTGTGCGCGTGTGTGATTTATGCACAAATAGTATTTTTAAAATACTTTTATACTGATAAAGTTTCATAGTGGTCTCTGAATCTGATCCTGTTCAAGAACCTCAGTCAAGTCTTGTCACTTCCATGGATTCATCATTACCTCTACACTTATCCACAAAAATCAGAATTTCTTTATGACCTTTATTTAAATTTAAGAAAACATAGCCCTCCTTTGGTACATTTGGGTGTTTTGGGACATTTCCTATCATCTCAGATGTGCTGATTATTTATTCATCAGAAAAAGAAACAACTTACCAGGTCGGGTGTGTGTTCTGTCTGGTGTTCTGGGCCTCACAGGAGTAGTGTACAATCTATGTGGTGCTGAAACAGAGGAAATGCTTCATATTTAATAACCAACACTCAAAAGCCCACTAAATGAAGATTTAGCACCCTAGGGACCAACAGCTTGTACGCTTTGCATAGAAGTAGAAAGAACATTCTGCAACCTCCAATTATGCATTACAGAATTGATGCTAAAGGAAAATAAAATGTGAAAATATTTATGACTTGAAATTAAAGACAGACATTATCAGAATGAGGTAGGTCATTTGTAATGTGTGTTAAAGAGTTATCATTTGGTTCATGTTTTTCAAGGGCATTCATTTTACCAGATAATTGCTTAACAGGGTAAACATATAAGCCAACTATATCCATCCATTCATCCATCATCCATGTGTCCATGTGTCCATCCATCCATTCATTCATCCATCTGTTAGTCCTTCCACATTGCTCAATTAGGTAGTCACTGTGGAACATTATGTTGCCAAAGAAGGCAGGTAATCTTAAAGGAGAAAAGGAAAATGTTTTTAGGTAAGTAAAAAGAAAAATTATAAACATGTGATCTTTATCAAACTGTCTTAACTCATAAACCCTGAAATAGTCACTTAGTGCCATCTATTAAAGTTTTAGAAATGAGAGAAAATGACCTCTGCTATTCTGTCCATCGAGAGAGGGAGAGCAAGAACTCAGACAAACTTTGGGACCAACACATCAACTTGTCACTTCCTGCTCAATCAACGGCCTGGACAGTGAGGACTCCTACCGAAAATTTTTTGAATAAATTAAAAAAAACTAAATAACCACTATAAGCAGGTAAATTTATGAGAAACTAAATTGACATATTTTTGCTTCTTAAGGTTTTAAAGTGTGCATTCATCTAGGAATTGGTCTGTCCTTCCCTTCCCTCCTCTGCCTCCTGCTTCCGAATTTCTTGGTAATGTTTAGCTAACACTGGAAAGAAATTTTCTTGCAAACTATGTAAGTAAATTACATCATTTCATTGGTTTTGCTCACATCTTGATCGGGTATTTATGTAACCATAAATCAGCAATGCTTTGCCTACCAAGTCAAAAAAAAAAAAAAAAAACCACACCTGCAAAACAGATTATAACATAGCTCATTTATAAGTTCCCAAAGTAAAGACTGATGAGCAGGATTTTGCCATACTTCAGGCCAAAAACAGCAGACACATACTGAAATTCTCTGTAGGTTTAGTATGGGCCTTTCAAAGTATAATAACTAAAGTGAACAGAGGTACTGATGTTATAAAATATGAATTCTTGCACACCTTAAAATGCATGATGATGATTAGCCAACATTTTTAATTTTTTTTGAGCATGGTAGAAATCTCTGTCAATTTAACATATTTCGGCTTTTTATGTTAATTTCTTCCATGGTAGATTGCTTTCACTTAAAGAACTGCAGCAATCATGGTTCTTATTAGTCTCATTTTAGAATAAATATAAATTTTAAAATTTTATACAGAAAAGAGACTTAGAGCAGAACACAGGACTATATTCATTATTTCAAGGCCACAGGATCAGAATTTTTTCCAACAGTATTTACTTAAATCTAGAAAGAACTTTTATAAAAGAGCTAAAATATAACTTAAATTTAGGCTGTGAGTTACTCAGATAGCTCATTACCAAATAACAAATGGCCTTGAGAAAACTGCTCTAAGGTTTCAGTTTTTAACTAAAGAAGACAAAGGAGCTTTGTGACAATGTAATTATGTAAACATCATATCCACATACTCTTTGGTGACTAACAATAAAATAATTTTAAAAGATGGCTTCATATCTGAATAGTTTTATAAAAATCTATTTAAAACGAACATTACAAATACTGTATGAACATAACATCAAAAATAAACAAACAAGGGTTACCTCAAAGGACCCGTGTTCTGCCCAGTATAGAGAGAGGCAAAAGAGGATTTAGCTTTCCCTGGATGGGGTAGGGATCAGGGTGGTGAACAGAGTAAAATCATCAAAATATTCCGCAATTGCCTCTGGCCAAGTGGATTTCTACTGTTGATAATTATGAAAAGGGCAAAGCAGAGGAGCTTGAATATTTCAGGGATGTAGAGTGCTGCAGGGAATTGTCTCAGTAGACAAAAGGGCCAGGGTACCACAGAGGAGAGGTACTGGAGATTCTAGCAGGCTCGTGCCATAGGTTTTAGAGCACTTTGGAGCACTCAGGCCCCATGGCTGAGGGCTTGGACAGGTTGTGGTGCATGCATACGCAGAGTACGAAGATCAAGAGGATTAATTTTATTCCTACAGCATTTCTCTCAAATTGTTGTGTGCTGTCCTGTGCTGCTAATACCTGATGTTAGCAATGCAATGCAACATGTGGAAAATATAAGTTGAACTTCAGCAGAACTCAGGCACGTGTTGATGAGGGTTGAGCCAAAAGGTATTCCTAATGACACACAACATGCCTTTCCTAAAGCTGACCCTCTACTCCCAAGCAGGGTTATTGGGCTGGGCCAGGTTGTGGATGCTGCTCTCATCCCTAAGATGTGTCCTTTCCTAGGATGTCCTTTGTCACCTCATGTAAATGAACCTCTGGTGAGCCCACTTTCAAGATCCTTGGCACAAATCTAGAAAAGTGTGAAACCTAGTGTGGTTTAGTTTAGGCTGTAGCTAAGGATCCTCAAAACATAAGAAAATAATTAAAATATAGTATATAGTATATCACATAAATATACTAAAATAATTCATATTTATAATGATAATAATTATAAT